TTGTCTGCTGTGCGGCTGCCGGCTTGTGGAGCTCTCTGAGACCTCTGTGTTCCACCCGGTTTTACCCAGCGGTCAGCCCGGCGTATCTCTGAGTCAGAAGCTCTGGTGTTGTGCACATTTAACTCCAGTTGTAGCTAGGTTGCTACCTCCGTTAGCTTAGCTCCCACCTCCGCGTTAGCTTTGGGCTAGCTTCAGGTTAGCTTGTAGCTAGTTTGACCGGGTGTCGTCAGTTGATCCCAGCCTTACAACCCCACCCTCAGCTCCACCTCTCTTCCCTTTTATGGAATTGTCTGGGCTTGACGGAACCTGTGACACGGTCAAAATGGCGGTGGTGGCCACCTCCCATTTTTCCTCAAAAACGTGTTATTGGAGTCTATGGAAACCCATTGTCCAATATTTATATGTCGATGGTTAGCACTAGCTTGAAGTTACATTTGCAGTAGACTAGCATTGTTCTGCAGTTAGCATTATCGCTACCAAAATTTAATTATTGCCTAAACTGAAGTGGGTTGAGACATGCAGATTTAAGGTGGTGTGGCTAAATTTACAATGTGTTAAATCAGCTGGTAAATGTGGTTAAAATTATTCTACACCATTATTGGATTTCTGTGCTAAAAAAGCAATATTTGTGAGCGTCGAACATAGAGCACAAGTAGCTCAGAAACTAGAAACTGCCTTCAACAGTTTGGAACACTCAAAGATTGCTTTGCAGCATGCGGCTTGACTCAAGGCATGCATTTAGCTGAAGAAGGAAAAATAAAACATGAAACAGTTCATGTGTGAAATTCCCTGTACTGTTTAACTCTGACAATCAATAGTCTTAACAAGAAAACCATCAGATAGCAGAGAGAATTCCACTGTGCTGCAGACTAGATTGATAAATTCACGGCGTATGGTTTATTGTTACTTTTTCTGTCTTTAAGTTAACTGCTTCTTTCTTCCAGGGAATATGTGAAAAATAATGCTGGCATTTAAACTCAAAGCAACTTATTAGTGACGTTGAAACTGACCATCAGTCACCAAACCAAGGCTTTGGTAAGAAATAACCATGACATTTTGGCAAACACATTCTATGGTGCTGTTAAAATATCTTTGGAGAATTATTTCTTTTCAGCCACATTTAAAAGAATTGCAAACATAAACATCCTGTCAAACTTCAAAGGTCAGATTGTCACTCTCAGGATTTTCTGGTAGAGAAGAATTCCTACTGTAGCCTGGCAAGCCATCCTATACATATAGTCTGGCCATGACCCACAGACAGATCCCACACCCGGCTGCATGGTGGCGCAGTGGTTAGCACTGTTGCCTTACAGCACGGAGTTTGCAGGTTCGAAACTCGGCCGCGGCCTTTCTGCGTGGAGTTGCGTGTTCTCAGCATGCATGCGTGGGTTTCCTCCGGGTACTCTGGTTTCCCCCACAGATCACAACATGCCATATAGGTTATAAATTGTAAGTTGCTTTGGATAAAAGTGTCGGCTAAATGAATAAACATAAACATAAATCTGGAGCATAATCTAAAGCTGTCTTTCAAACAGTCTCTATATACTATTCAACCATGAACCACGTGACACACTCACCTCTGTAGATGTTGGTCAACAGAGCAGTCCATCTTACAGTCAAAGAATGCATATTTTTCTAAATAAATGACTCAATGACCTCTTTTTGCACTTGACTCCAAGAAAAGTTTAAATAGTCCAGAGTGGATGCCAAAGCCATTTCAAATGAGCTGCAGCCACTTAAGTTGTTTCGTTCCGTCGCAACATCCCACACACAAAACTGATAGAGTGCTGTGATTGGCAAGGCTAGGCACAAGACAGTTTGGGCCTGCTGAGGCGTGACTAGACTGACCTGCAGAGAAAATGATTTAACTTTATCTACTGTTTGCCTACATTTATAGGATAAAGGATTCTATAAATTACAGCAAGTTCTTCTGGTCCCAAAGCACCAAAGTGGCCCCAGGGCATCAATTCATCACCCAGTTTGATTGTTGGTCTGATGTTTTGTTTTTTTTAAATGAAGGTTTTCCCAAAATTTTTAGGGCTCATCAAGAAATGTTATCGTCAAAAGCGAGATAAATGTTTCTGATCTGTTTAGTTAAAGGGACTTTACGGAGTTTTGAATTTTTATGCTCGCGATTGCCCCCTCAGGCCAAAAGCGTAACGGCAGCTTCAATAGTAGGCTCGTGCACGAGATGCGCATGGTGTACGTGCACACTCCTTAACGAAAATAACAGCTGATACAGTACCTTGTGTGTGTGTGCGTGTGTTGTGTGCGTGTGTGTGTGTGTGTGTGTGTGTGTGTGTGTGTGTGTGTGTGTGTGTGTGTGTGTGGCCCAGAGGACAGGAGAACGCGCAGCTAATTAATTAAATAATGTGGTTCTGTACCTTTCTCTTCAGCACAGCTGACAAAGGTTTATGATGGGTCAGTCCTCCTGCATGCTCAGATCATTCCCTTCCCTTGCTTGAAAAATTGTTCCAAAATGAAAGTTGAACCCACATCTTTTTATCTGTGAATTCAATGCCGTTCGGCGAGTCTCAAATAAAAATCTGGGCATCTTACTGCAAAGAAATATACCATTAATGTAAAATATAAACTCTAAACAAACTATGTTCACATCAAGAATCGAGCCCCGGGTCTCCCTGCACGAGAGTCCATCATCTTATTAGATGAGCTAAAGCACCAGTGACGTCTTTCTTATCTGTAATATTTATTTCGTTGATGACAGCTGAAACAACGTTCGGAGAACGGTTCGGAGCGAAAATGGCTATTTTGTTGCTAATTTGCAGGAAATATTTAGAAGAAAGTAGCTAAGGGTCCTCAGAAATGTAGCTAGGTTCATCACTAGGCGTTAGGAACAGCGACAAAGTCGCTGAGTTGGCACTGCCTCTCTCTCTGCTGCTAAAGCTACGGATAGCAAATGCTACGGGCGATGTCTGAGCGTGAACGCGCATGAAGCAGCCTGCTCGACCCGAGCATCTCTCTTTTTCTGTGATTTTACAGAAAAACAGGCAATCACAGTAAAAATGCCAGGGCTCATTCTACAGGACCAGGGCATTGCAGGAGAATGTATGAAGAAGACATTTATTATTTCTACACATGTTTTGGCTGTCAAACGTATGCCCCTTTAAAGAGCAACTAAACCTTAAAATAACATTTTTTTTGCTAATTAACTGTATAATTGGGTCTTTACAAATGCAATCTTTCTGTTTCTGTGCATTTTTGACACGTTTGTGTAAACTTGATTAAATCTAGAATCTAGGTCTAAAAACGTCTTAGTGCTGCCCCCTGTGGCAGAACAGCAGCTACTGCATTTAAAATGTGTGATTGACTGGGGCTGGCACAATTTCATGTAATCGGCACAGTCTCCTCCCACTCGCCCTCCCTCCCAGGATAGAAATTCCCCACACTTGGCCATGACACTTTGTGCCTCCTGGCAACGCCCACTTTCATAGCATTTTTTCAAATGTTGACTAGGGGTGGAGTTACATTTTCTGACGGTGTGCAGGCCCTATTTAAAGGTTTTGGCCTTGGAATTCTCCCACGGATGCTGTTTTTTTGCAGAAGAAATTAAAGCACAGATTGAAGAACTTTACATTTTCAGATCTGAAATCCTAATGGGAATGCCTCCATCCAATAAGACCTTGAACGTTCAGCTTCTCAATTATTTCCATGCATGTCTTGAAATTTATTTCAGATCCAGATGTTTTTTTTTAATCTGGTCTCACAGTCTCCATTTAAACACCTATAATTCTAGATGTTCACTTTCTAGTGACAAGAGTAGCAGATGTGCATTTGCACCACATATGTCACTTGCTACTCTGTATTGAGGCAACAGTATAATGTGTATTTTGAAAAAAGGACAGCCTTAATTTGCTGGTGTCAGTCTTCGTATTGATAGCTATAAAGACCTCACTGAATAAAGTGCTCTGGGAACAAATTGTTCCAAACAGTGTGTTCTTCAAAGCAGAAGAGTGCTACCGCACCTCTCACAGGAATTATTTTCAAACAAACCAATAAACGGAGAAGGTAGCAAACTCACCCACACTCACACAAACTTAACAGCACCCAAAAGTCAACTGTGACCTGATCTGTCTTCCAAACTGGTATTAGTGCTAAAAGCAAATAAAGACCGGCTCACTTATCACCTCATATCATTGATATTTTTAGTCTTGGGTGACCCGAACATGACAGGGAGCATAAAGGAGTGATGAAAACCAGCAGATCCACAGTAACAGTGAATGGAAGAAATATGAAACGCTGTGTGACATTCAGTTCAAAATGCTGCCTCTTGAATTATGCGCTCTCTTTCAACCACAAGCTTCCTGCTTTCTTATCTATAGCTGATAACCTTTGTGAGGTTTACAGCAAATGAAATGCATTATTTGGAGAGAGGTGACGCTCTATTCTGGTACTTACAGAACTGAGTCAAAGACACTGCGAGCTGGAACTGAAAGGGGTCAAAGGTTTACCAAATGCAAGAGACAAAAGAGGGGTTTTCATTTACCCTGAGCAGTCATGACGTTGAGCTGAATTAATAGCCACAAATGCCATTTTGGAGCAAGAATAATTGAATGGAAAAATATGAATGTAGCTAATTAGCTTAACTGACCTGAGTACTTAGACTTTCATTAGTTCATACCAACGTCAAAACACCCTCCAAGCAAGTTTTCTCATTTGTGAGGTGCATGAAACAGCAACCTGCCATGTGTGTATTTTAAAGCACTTCATCAAGATGGCACATACCTTACATTTGTTTTTTTATTCTACGTTACAAATTATCTCTACTCAAACTTTGGAGGGTAATCCAATGGATTAAAGCTGGACTAAAAAAGTTCTGAAGATCAAAGAGAAAGTTTAAGCCCAGAACTGGGCTCTCGTTTGAAACCTGCAACCTACAGTGCCATAACCTTGTAAAACAATCTAAGAAACCAAGAATGCTCACATGGACGTTCATATGACATGAAGGCTTAACACTGGTATGCACCTCATATGATTCCTACCTGCACAAGATTCCAGCCCTCCAAAGATTCGGCGATGATTGATGTCACAGAAGGGCAGACGCCTCCGAAGATCATCAGGTGTTTGGGACCGTAGCATATGGCATCAAAGAAGGCCCTGAGTCCTTTGGCATTGTCACACTGCAGAAACAAGCAAAGGTGGTTGATGAGGAATGCACAGGAATAACATGAGGCAAATGAACATTTCGTTGAAGTTTGTTGTAACGTCAGTATTAAAAAGGCTATTTAACTCTTTCAATCAAAGTCAAGAAAGGTAAATACACAGACAGATGTTCATCGAGGCTTCAGCTTGCTGTACAGAAACCTTAAAGGTCAGTTTTACGCATACTTGTATTACATTGCAGTGGTCTCAAGTAGGAATGAATGTCTCGTAAGGCGTACTTTAGGGACACAAGCTCTGGTGCGCCTGTTTCAGGAACTAGAAGTGAGCCAGATCAGTGTTGAGTAGAAGATAGCAGGATTTGTAGTCTTATTTCCTGATCTTACCTGACCAACTCGGTTTGCTTTGCAATGTTGATGTTTTATCTCTCTGATTAACACAAGCCTGAAGGAGTTCTGCCGTGTGGTGCAGTTGCTGATGCTAGTGGTTAGCATCTATTAGTGGAGATGTTCTTTACGGTTCCATTTTTGGTTCTTTTTTAAAACACGGGAAAGGTTTCTCTTTAACGTACCAAAGATGTTCTTTACTGTTTGCTGGACGCTAAACCAACAACAGCCTTTCTTGTTAAGATGGGTGAATCCATGAATGTTGAGTGACGGTGTGACGTAGATCTGGCAGGAAGCTAAAATCCTTGAGTTTTACTGTCAATTTTCTATCAATTAATGTAGGAAACACAATTTTCACATTCAGTCTGCATGAACAACTCAGAGGGATTGATTATAATCAGAAATAATAATTAAAAACAGCTTTTCAGTGAAGTACCACTTTAAATCCTGAATCTGAAGATGCCAGCTGACAAACGTTAATGAACTATAAACGACGTTGGAACCAGGCCTTCCATGGGCTGTTTGCAAAAGAAAATATGGCATTTAACTTGCTGTATGTAACACAGTGCTTGAAGCCTTTTGTGTGTGTGTGTGTGTGTGTGTGTGTGTGTGTGTGTGTGTGTGTGTGTGTGTGTGTGTGTGTGTGTGTGTGTGTGTGTGTGTGTTATGAATGTAAAACAATGCAGTTCATAGGCTGCTAGAGCGAGTGCGCCGCTCCAGCCCAGTGCTGCAGAAAGCTGCCATTTTATGTTTCTACGGCAACCAGCAACAGAGATTGTGGTAAAGTGAGATGTGAGAAATGAGAGGGGAACAGAAATAAAAATACATGTAGGTTAGTATTGACTGCTGCATGATCCCTGGTCTATCTGGTTTAGTTGTGATTCTAAAATATTCCCATCAGCAGTAAACACTTCCCTTATTGTTTTATTATTGCCACTTAATCGGGTTGCAGCCCGTATAGACTCACTGCAGCAGGTGGTGTGCGTGTGTTTGTGCCTTCTGACACAGTCCATCTCTCTTGGAGGGTCATTTTGCCTTGTTAGCAATAATCCAGCAACTGAATGAGATCAGTGAGCAACAGCAGCACCGCTTACTCCACCTAGATTGGAGAAATGAGATTCCTAACAGACGTACAGCGCTGTGTGTTGAGATATATTTCCAACTTTATTAAGTGGAGTGGCAGGTGTAAAGGCTGCAGGGTGGATACAAACTCAAATCACATTTTCTGCAATGTTGCCTTTTTATTTTGAGTGGAGGATGAACGTTGTTTACTACGATGGTGGAGTTAAAGATGAGGATGCAGTCAACTTCTGCCTCAGGAGCTGTTCTTCAGAAATAGATGTTTGCTTGGATTCAACTCATTAGCCTCTTTTTCTTTCTTTGCCACTAAAGACTGAATAGCAGTAAACCTAAAGATGCAAGATGTCCTCTCTTCCTTATGGATTCCAGCAGAGAGCGGTGCCAGTCAAAAACAGGCTTGATTGCACATGTGCCTCAGGTGAAATGAGGGGTAGAAGATGTGATTAGACACAGTGGGTATTCCTTATCATGGCCACACAGCATGAAACAGTGGGCTATTAAAGATGATATCCTATTAGCACATGCTTATCCTTCATTTTCCTTCAGCCGGCTGCAAGAAGGTGGGCTGCTATTGAAGGATTGTGACTCAATTGGTTACCATGCAACAAAAAAAGACGTGTGGGCAACCAAACTTGTCAAACTGAACACAATAGGGCTTGACAACGGAGTAGGTTTAAGTTGATTTAAGTAACAATGCATTGTAGGTGGTAAAAAGCTGTGCTTCTGTGAGATGCCATGTCAGCACCTGATGCCTGGAAAAACAAGCAAAAATTGGATTATCCATGACTAACTATACCTATTTAGTCCTCCTCACTTGCATTTGTCTCTCTACTTTTTTGAGTTGGACACAAGCAAATAATCTGCTGTGACTGCTCAGAAAGCCTTGGCCAGAGTGTTGTCATGCCAACAGTGTGACTATTCACACTTTGAGCCCTGGATGAGAGAGGATGCCACAGCAGGACCTTTGTAGCGATGGCTATATTTAGCCTATCATTAGGTAGCACTACAACTTCGACATTAGTCAATACTTAATTCAGCTGGAGAAATGCAGTAAAGGTTGCGATAGACAAAATGGGAAATACGGGAGAGAGGCAATGGAGAAGTGGAAGTGATTACGCTAAAGGAGGGAAAGAAATGGTGAGGATAAGAGTAGGAGAGGGAGTTAAAGGAAGTTAAAAAACACACAACTTAAGCCATTTCAGGTTGCTATTAACTGTTCATCTACTACCAAAGGCAGTCGGGAAGCATCTTGACCGCATGCTCGAACCACCTCACCTGGCACCTCTTGACATGGAGGAACATTGGTTCTGCTCTGAGTCCCTCCTGGATGTCTAATCTCCGTTCGCTAAAGTCAACCCCTCAGAGATAACGTCTTTAGGCCATCTTTAGTTGCAGGCTTGATCATTATCCAAGGCTCTTGACAACAAGTGAGGATTGAGAACATTTATCAACAGGTGCAATCAAATGTTTGACTACAGGCTTTGGTCTCTCTCTACCATAACAGCCCAGTTTATCATCATCACCATCATTATCATTATCACTCCAGGTGGTACCTGGATCAGCCTATCTAACGCTCCATACTTCCCTTGTGAACAACAGCTCCTCGAATACTTAAACTTCAATTGATGCATAACCTTTCTCCCGACACAGAGTGGGCAATCCACCCTGTTCATGTTGAACATAAATGAGAGTACAAGAGTAAACGGCATAGGGGATTACTAGAGTTCTGCCCTAGAACTAGGGCTGGGGCTGGGGCCTAAGGGAGAGTGCCTGGTGGCCCCAATCAGGCCCAGATCGAACTGGTTACATGGTCTAGGGTTTGGGTTTGCCCTCCTGTGGACCCACCACCATGAGTGGATCAAGGGGTGGACCAAAGCACAATATTCTGCAGCTTTGCTCATTGGACCATGGTCCATCACTTTCAGAGTATGAGGTTAAACATTTTTTCAAATATGCTCTAAGTATATAAAAAAATTAAATACAGAAATGTCACTGCCCTAAAATAGACCCAAATAAGTCCCGTAGATAAAGTGTTACTGTACGAAGAAGAGGGCATGACAACACTTTACTCCACAGCACAAGTAGTAAGAAATACCACAGCACTTTATTTCCCTCTCTCTCAGTCTGAAATGTAATTCCTGGTATTTGGAGGCCATTTGCAGCAGATCGATGAGGTTAACACTCATAGTAATCTGTTTGACTGGCTCGCAAGATGGCAAAGAAAAGGGTATGCAGTTACGGGGGGGGGGGGGGGGGGGGGGGGGAGGATGGCAGAAGAACTAGGAAATAGAAACTCAAGGGAGACATTCTAGCTGTCTAATGTTTATCCATTAACACAAATATTACTTCAAGTGGCCTCAAATGTTCAGATCTCACTTCAATAGCTGGAAATGGTTAAATGTTGTCACTGTGTTTCTGAGAATGCTCTTCCTTGGTTAGACCTTTTGGTGAATCACCACTCAGACAGCACTTCACTGAGTTCATATCTAACACTCCTCAATCCTTTCTCTTAACTCCAGTCCCCTCACGGTGACCTTTACACAAGGGTACAGAGATTAATATCCATTGATCATTACATGATAATGTTTGCCTTTTGTTCTTCTGCTGGTGATAAATCGCTCTCAACGAAGATAAATGTGATGAAATAGCTTCTCTGGAATCTATGAGCGGTATTCTTTTCTCTTTTTTTGCTTGTGACAAAATGTTTCTATGAAACATTTTTAATCAGAATCTTGCACCTTATAAAGAGCATGCTTTAATGCCTAAACATCAACAATACATTTTCACTAGAAACAATCTGGCAAATGTCACTGTAAACACATTAAAGTCAATGCAACTTTGAATTTACATTAAAAAAGAAAGAAAACATGGGGGGGGGAGGGGGGGTGCAGAGGTTAAAGATGATCAGTTCAAGCATGTGCAAGTTTACTGATCAAAGTGGCACAACACTACATGTGTGCATGCATTTGTGATTTTGGGAAAAGAACAGGAGGTGATCAGCTATGATGAAATGCCCCGTTAATGCAGCAGACAGAGGCAGCTGCACCTGTCTCTAACCTAATGGCCAATTACTGCCCTCAAATCAGCAACCTGAGACCCAGTTACACACACACACACACACACACACACACACACACACACAAACACACACACACACACACACACACACACACACACACACACACACACACACACACACACACACACACACACACACACACACACACACACACACACACAAACACACACACACACACACACACACACACACACACACACACACACACACACACACACACACAAACACACTCACACACACACACACACACACACACACACACAAACACTCACACACACACACACACACACACACACACACACACACACACACACACACACACACACAAACACACACACACACACACACACACACACACACACACAAACACAAACACACACACACACACACACACACAAACACACACACGCACACACACACACACACACACACACACACACACACACACACACACACACACACACACACACACACA